GACACTGGGACACTAGGTGGGACACTGGGTGCCGCTACTAGGTACTCTACTTATATTTCAACGATACTGGAAAAATTCATAACTCAGGTAAGGGCGTTATCTTGCAAGCTACAGAGCTAGTAATTAGTCATATTTCGATCCTTTGAGATTCTTTCATCATTCAGAAATAAAAAACTAAATTCAGCTGGAACAGGCACATTTCTAGGAAGGAATGTGACGGATCATTTATATCTAATTTATATCTCATCGTCATCTCACTTATCAAACAATGCTTCTCGTCCTCATCTTGTTCTAATCTTGTTGAGAGCAGGCGAAGATTTGAAATGCGCGCTACAGATTCGGTAGTCGCCTGGCAAAAGTGGTACCCGCTTGACGTCACAGAACTTCAAGATGGCAACAAAAATCAAACTGGGACAATAATCAAAGAAAAGGACTGTGGTGGTTACAAAGGAATACCTAAATGATCATTCATTTTTTCGAACCCTTATAATTTAAAAAAATTAATTTGAAGTGAAGTACGTATTTGGAGACTTTACACTTTACTGGGAGAACATCCAATGCCCAGCATGAGCATTGGAAACGTCATTCGTGAACTCAAAATGACCGACTTGTTTTTTTTTAAAATTGAGATATTGATGATATCAAGTAAAACTAGTTTTGAGTCATATCCTGTAAAAAATTTGCTCCCAAATTCCAATTTTTAAGCATCAAAAAGTATGAACTTTTTTCCTGCCGTAAGGATCCATGTAATTACAAAACTTCGAACTCGTATTTCTCGGACACCCGTAAGTGCAATCTGTGATGAGCCTCGAGACTCATTAGACCATGCGCTAACCGTGGCCCATACAGAAATCAACTACCCTATCAGGCCAAACAGTGCACAGGTAGGCACAAACCCAGGGATCGTGGCTCGGATCGCCGCGTGCCTTCCCAGCTGAAGAACAAAAGGCTACCCTCGCCGCAGTCAGACCTAATTACTTCCGCTCGATTACCCATTTCACTGCCACGCTGAGTTCCACCAAATTTTCAAAAAAATTGTTTTGCATGTATTTAGCAAGTGTTTCCTTACTTTCCGTTAAAATACGAATAAAAAGAGGCTTCATTTCTAAAAATCGGCCGAACAGAAGAGAAGTTACAGTTCGAAATCCGAAGAGATACAAAAAAAACTCGGATTTCAACGCAAAAAATGAAAGGAAGGAAAAAATGAGAAACATATATCACAATTGAAAATCATTTGGCTCAGAATGTTACAAGCAATTCCATTATCTAAGAGAGCAAAAATTGCGGCAAAATTTCAAAAAAAAATTGGTCCGAGTTACGAGGGGAGAGGGTCAAAGAGGCTAAAATCCCATCTAACTTTTGCCGTTTTCCTGCAGAATTGATGACGAGAGCATATATTTGTTATTCACGGATGCCTCAATCAACATATCGATACATACGTTTTTTTACACGTAGAATTGACTTTCCACGTCCGGGAGTCGACATATCGACGGTGTAGATAAGTCGGCAATCACATAACTCGGTTTGCGACGTCCTGTCATACTTCATTTTTTAACAGAGAACTACTCAACGGCGATTCTTTAAAACTTCCGTGATTTTTTCTCTCCGTGCGAAGAAAATTCTGTAAAAACTTCAAGGAATGATGTCAATTGGTGCTCCTTTAAAAAAATGACGTAAAGGTGGAGATTTTCAGACACCGCAAACGAGGTATGTGATTGCCGACTTACACCGTCGATATTCCGATTTGTTACGTCGATTTTTTCGATTTTTATACGGAAAATTTATAGTTTTTTGGGATTAAAATTAGTTGCTGATTCACGAAAAAATAAATGCATCATGACTAAAGCATGTTGATTTTCACATTGCACTCATGGAATTGATTTATAAAGTCAACGAGTGGGGATATCGACTTGGTATAGCGAGTTTTTGCGACTTTTTTTACGGCAGATCAGAGGACTTTTGGGATGTAAATTTTTAACTTTCAACTCCCGAATGAATGTAGAATTAGACATGGCTGACTATTCAGTGGCGAAAGTTGAAATCCCGATTTTTTTGTAAAAACGTCGCCGGCGGAAGTTCTAAAAACGCTCCGATCGGTCTGAAACTTTACAGGAATTATTTCTTTATGAATTGGCACCTATTGGAAACCGAGTAGCTGAACTTTAACTTTTTGTTTGGAATACAAATAAGCCGCACCCTAATGCCTCAATCCTCGACGCAACGGCAAGAAACCAAATAAGAAAGGAGCAAGGACTACGGTGAATTTCTAGCCGAACTCGCCGTGCAGATTCCCCTCCCTTAGTCCGCACACCCCTACGGTGGAAAGTGCCGCGCTGCCAAAATGTGCATTTTCCCTAATTTTCGGCGGAGCCGCTGAGCAAGTTTCGAGTCGGTCGAAACTTGCTCAGCGGGTCGACAGAGTCGTTAGCGGATGAAACTCGGCTCCCGCACAGGAGGTAAGGTGGCGGCCACTGGCTCAAGTGCAACGATGTCGGTCAGCGGGGGAGCCCACGGTGACCCGTGCTCTGAGTTTCGCACAACGGCACACTCCTATCCGTGCAAAACTCTACGGCGACGGCGCGAGTCCATTACTTGAGTCGGACTCAAGAAACTTGCTCGGGGTCCCTGGCTGCGAATGAGGTGTCGCTCAGATTCGGGAGAAATGTTAAAAAAAAAAACGAGGCTCGAAAGCGTCTCTTCTGCTATCTTCGGTTGTGTTGACACGCGATTTTTTCTCTTTTTTTTTCGATTCGATGTCTGATATTTTTCTAAAGATGTATTTGTAGACCTATAACTACAGCTCGTATTTAACGGACATTTTATTCATTGATACTATTTATTAATTTATAAAACTCGCGGGGCAATTGTTTTTAGTCAGCCTCTGGTCGATTAGACTATCCCCAGGCGTCTAAAGGCTAATCAGTGCAAAATTGCGAACGAAAACTGGCGTGAAGTGAAGATGGGAAAAGAAGAAGAAAAATGAAAGAAAAAGGCGGAGGAGCGTCGAAACAAGAGACCTGGAAAAACTCTTACGTTTTATCTAGCATAGGTTTCTTTACTAGGGATTGGCACCCCTCTGTACCAAATTGTTTCCAATTCGATGCCAATACTTAGTGGTGAGGCGTGAATGATGAAAAGAAAAGTCAGTTACATTAAGCAGAAACCTGCTACCATTCAGCGATTTCATTCTTGATTAAAAAAAAAAAAAAATCTTCTCGATGGCATACTTAAGAATTGTTCTGCCTAATTCAAGTCATTTTTTTTCTAATGATACACAAAAATTATGCTAAACGTTATTAAATACGGATGCGAGGACTTGGTGAGTTTTTGGACTACCGCTCTCATTTTATGCCGTAGTATATTGATTTATTTTGCAAGGATCGCTCCGTACTCTTAAAGGATACCTGTCATTCTTAATATGCTGCAACACCTTCAATTTCGTATGATACTGTACGACACCTTTGTTACGAAATAGTTGCTTGAGGCGCCGGACGTGCCACGCTGCGACGCGGCAGGCGAGCGGCCAGCGCGTGGCGCATTGGCGCCTACAAACCTAAGGGGATACTTCAAGCATAGCGCAATGCGTGAAGTATCCCCTTAGGTTTGTAGGCGTCTGGGCGCGTTTCGGACCGGCAGCGAGCCGCTCCGCCCAGTGTTGGGCTCTAATACTTGAACTCGCGAAGTCAGCGATTTTCAACACATGATTTTGAAATGTTTACACACTCTGCATGGATTATTCTCATTTAAATTGATGAAAAAAAAATATGTATTAAAGGAAAACATAACATGTGTTTTGTAAATTTTAAGGTTGTTCCGTGTCAAATTTAATGATTTCCAAGGCGTTTTAATTTTTTATTTTATACTTTGTGCTTTTACTTTGATGCAGAATGTTGTACGCGCAACCAAACGCTCACAAAAGGACGTATTTGACTCTAAAAAATCGATTAACAAATAAGTTAAAACGAAAGATTACGTGCTTTTTGGGTTTCCTCCTCTTTTATTCATTATTCTTTAGTAGATTTGAAGTATAAATAACAAAATAAGTAGCATGTCTGGTTACTATTTATGAAATTGTTAAAAAGTGTAGAGGTCATTTACGAATGAAAACTTAAATGCATTATTAATTTCTACGTATTTGGACTAGTAGACAAGGTGCGAATTCGGCTCAAGCACTCTGATTGAGGTTTCTCGACCAAAATTGCACGTAGAATACGAATCCCGCAACGAAAAATTACTGATTTCATCTCCTAACTAAGATATTAACGTTTTTCGTTCCCATCGGTTCAGTCGGCTGTGATCAAATTGTGCTACAACGGTTTGGTTAAAAAAAACTGGTATCAGAATGTGTAAATTCGCACCTTGTCTTCTGGTCCATTTAGCCATCGATAAATGTCAAAAAGTAACAAACTTTAACCGGCACCGAATTCCTCCATAACATTCACGATTCCCCTCGGCGAAATTCGGAATTGGCTCTGTGTTCATCCTAGGCACGGCGGCATATTTCGGGTAGTTTTGATTCCACGATGAGGGCGTAGCTATGTTGAAAGCCACTACGGCGTACCCAAATCCCATGCACATAGTTTCTTTTAGCATAAATACGTATGAGGAAAACTGTGAAGATGGTCGCGCGCCACGCGGCGAACAATGGATCAAGTCAATTAGAAAATTCTGACAGGAAATTTTCGACTAAAACTGCAAATTTCGATGTTTGATTCGTCTCATTTTAAATTTTGAAAGGTGCTCCTAGAAGAAAATTTCACGAGAAAACCAATGGAACCATTTTTAAAATCTCAAATTTTTGATTTTACGGAGTTATACGCTTTTAAAGTTTACAAATTTTGTCCGACCTCTTCCGTTGACTCGATCCGTTGTGCGGCGCGGGTTCCATGCTCCCGAGGAATCCCAGTGGGTTTCCCCGTTCTTACGGCGGTGTTGAGCTTTTATGCGGACTAATTCCAAGCTAATCAATTATGACGCTTATCTTTTTTTAATTTCATATTTTGTTTTTCCCCAGGCGTCCTTCCTCCCTTTAATTTGCTTCTCAAAGACCAAATGTAACTACTTGTTGTCTTGGCCTGGTGGTACGAGAGTTGTGCAGCGCAAACTTGAGGCCAACAGTTCTTCCAGCCTCTTCTGCCACGATATTCCTGTGAGTACTCGTCCATTTCATCATCACATCATCTCTAAAAGCTCTCCAAACCCCTGTATTCTCATTTTTTTTGTCACAGTTCGTTCTACTGGACCGATTCACATGATTTTATTGGCTGCCGATAGGAGATAGTCCCTAGATGAGCCCGCTCTACTCATGCCGCAATCACACGCTGAATTTGGCAGCTGAATGTGGCAGTCAACAGTCAGCGCTCAACAGCTGAAATTTCACTAATTCGAGTTATTTTCATCCAAATGTGTATCAAATCTATTCGAATAGTTCAGACAAATCCGACTTTATCCGATGGTCGCTGAGAATCGCTGCTGAATGTTGCGCGTCACGCGCAAATTTCAGGCATCTACATTCCACATTAAAGCCACATTCAGCTCCCACACTCAGCGTGTGATTGCGGCATGAGACTAATTGACGAGGGGTACGCGAAGCTATCTTTAGAGGGGTTGGGCTCCATTTTTCCAAAAACTGCACTCATGCGCCATGTCCTCCAAGCCCCTCAAATGTATTTCCTTATATATGTCGCAGGCAAATAGGTAGTGAAATCAGGCATTTTGTCAAATGCCTAGGCAAAAATTTGCACACACAATAGTATTTTAAACAAGTTTTAGCTCCTGAAGAGACACTGATCTTGAAATTTTCAGCATGTCGGAAAGTACAGAATTTTTGGAATTTCAACATTTGAAAATATGAGAAGCAATTGAAGAGGAAGAGCCAAAAAGGCTTCGTAGGTTTGATGAGTTATTTTTCCAAAAATAGTGAAAAATCGTGAGCTCTTCGCCATAAATTCGCAAAATTTTGTAGACCGTCAAAATTTGACTATCTGCCTAGGCATTTGACAAAATGCCTGATTTCACTATTTGCCTGTGACATATGGACTGCATTTTGCAATTTGGACCTATATAAATCCCGGCCCGGTTTAAAAACAACGTATGTGCCATTAGTTCCCCCATGCACATAAGTGTTTTTTCAGATGAGCCAGAATTTATAGGTCCAAATTGCAAAATGCAGTCCATATATAATGATTATTCCAATTGGACTACATTTTGCAATTTGGAACTATAATTTCTGGCTTATCTGTAAAAACACGTATGTGCATAAGGAAACTGATGGTACATACGTTGTTTCTAAACTGAGCCAGAAATTACAGTTCCTAATTGCAAAATGTAGTCCAATTAGTTTTTCCTCTAAACCTTTCCGACTTTTCGTTACAGGTGAGAGGCATTACACATCAGACAATCTACTCATTTACGGCAGCCAAAATGGTCCGGAACATCCTCTCAGTACTCCTATTGGTCTGCATCACATTTTTGGTCATCATCTCATCTCCGGAGAATGGCGCGGAGGCCGACGTGTACATCGGCAGTTGCAACGCTTTGACAACGACCAACAACTACATCCCGCATTGCGAAGACGAGTGCAGGCGCCAGGGTTTCAAAGGCGGGCACTGCGGGAGCTTCCTCAGAGTAAACTGTTGGTGCGAGCAATAACCCTCACAATACTATCATGCCCATGAAGAACGCCGTCCCAAGTGGCATTTTTCAACGGAAAATCGTGACATTTTGAGATTAAGTTGCGATTTATCTACGATTTTTTTTTTGCGATAAAATCGCTAGGATCATCAACATCTGTGCGATTATCCTCAATCTTGTCGCGATTTTATCTCTGTGAAATCGCGTGCAATTAAATCGAAATCTTATCTCAATTGGATGTATTTCTGCCAAACGGAACTATGTGCATTATAACGTGAGCCCTGTTATGCATATACTCTTATGGGTATCAGGGCTCATGTTTTAATGCACATAGTTCCGTTCGGCAGGAATACGTCCAATTGAATCAATGAGAACGGAAACACGCCAACTTGGTAGCTCGAAAATGATTAATTTCCACTAAAGACAGTTAATATTACTAAGAGGTCATTGCAGTTAGCGCCCTCTGTTCCAACTCGGACCTTTAAAGCTGTACTTTAAGTACTTGTCTTTCGGCAGCTGAGTCTTTTTCTAAAACTAACTTCTTCACCTACTGTGCAGTTTTGTGTGAGTTTTGATTATATTCATTTTTCCGAGTTGGTATGTTTTTGTCCTCACTGATTCAATTTATCACGAGTTTTTGTTGGATAATATTGCGATAAATCGCCGTCGATGAAATCGCGATTTTATTGCAAATTTATGCGATGAAATTGCAATCTACTGCAATTTTTTATCCGATAGTATCGCAGCAAATTGACGTCGATAAAATCGTGATACATTCCACGATCGAATCGCAACTTATCGTGATCGCTACTACTTGTGGCTACTTAGTGTATGAGCATTGGCAAGTTGCCAAATTCTCCCGGATAAAGCATGAATTTTGAAGAAAGTTATGCATATTTTTCCATGAAATTTTCGGATAAACCAGATTAAATTGCAAAACAAATTCTTTGAAAAATTTGAAGGTAAATATTCACAATTTTTCCGGTAAATTCGGTTTTTATCGAAGAAAATATGGCAACGTCTAAAGGCTCTTACGGCGTTCTTCCTCACCCGGAGTCGGAGGTTTGCCGATGAAAAATGACTGATTTATAGTGATTAAGTCCATTGGCGGATCAAGCAATTTGGCAACACCGGATTTCTTCCATTTAAACCTTTGTAAAAATATCGATTCTTGGAGGGGTCAGGTGCTCCGACAAGAATCGATTATTTAGCATAGGTTTAAATGGACGAAATTCGGTGTTGCCAAATTGCTGGATCTGCCTCTGATTAAGTCATCCAATATTCGACACACTCGATGGCTCCTCTTACCTGGAACCAATTGATCAAATCATTCTGGATCATCTGTTGAACTTGACATTTTTTGATGCGTCTATTGTGTTCTACTTAAAATTCGAATGAGAAAACGTGTGTTGTGGTGCTTAAGTTTTATCCTGTTTGCTTAGAAGTTCATTACTTAGGGAAGTATTCAATCAATGCTCCTTTCCCTGTGCATATACAATTCGATCTCTCTGGGCAATTTTGCTCAATTCGAGAGTATTTTTTATTAATTCTTAAAATGTAACAAAAAATTTGCCATTGTTGAGATGACTTTATTATTTAAGTACTTCAATTAACTGTAATTGTAAATGCCAATTTTTTAATAATAAAAAAAAATAAATCTGAATATTTGGATATGTATTTTTGCCGCCTGCACGCGAAGGATTGGGTTGATCCTGGACCGAAGCTTTTAATTTTATAGGTAATTAAGACGAAAATTTGGGTGATATTTCGCCAGTAAATTCAATTTTATCCGGAGCTATTTGGCAACGCCCGAATGTTCACACGGGGCACGGTGAAACGAGTCATTGATAGGAGAAGATGGATATGAAATTTTTGACTAGAATTGCAAATTTTGACGTTTATTCTGTCACATTACGAGTTGCAAAAGAAAATTTCACGAGGAGGCCAATGGAACTCTACATACTTTGGAATATTTAAATTAACAAAAATATGCGAGCTCTTGAATTTTCCACATCATATCCGACCTCCACGACTAACTTTTTCCACCGTGCGGCGCACAATGGAACATAAGTCCATTGGAGTTTACGGACGAAATGTGTAAACTTTAAAAGCTTATAACTCCGTCGACAGAAAATTTTGAAGTTTTAAAAGTTGTTCCATTTGTGTTCTTGGAAAAGTTTCTATAACAAGCGTCCTTTAAAACCCAGAGTTTGATCAAATGAACATCAAAATACGCAGTCTTAGTAAAAAACTACTGAAAAGTAGTAGTAATAGCACTCGAACCACTGTGCGGCGTTTGTCTTTAGCATAGACGAGTAGGAGTCAATCCGCCTCGGCGGGAATTGGTCAAGGCCAAGGTCACAATTTATCAGTGGCGTGGCGTGCTTTGCGATGTATCGATTGATTTGTCATTGAACCTATGGAAAAGGATCGATTAACAGGGTGCTCGCAACGGACACCTAAGTAATCGATTATTTACCACAGCTTCTAATGGAGAAATGTCGATAGATCGCAAAGCACGCTACGCCACTGGATTTATTTATTTACAATGCAGCTTTCGACGTCTTTAACGCAGAACTGATTGAGTCGATCGCTTGAATTAGTTCCAGTTATGATGTAACCAAGCAGGTCATTAACTCCTGGGAGCGGGAATGTGTTTTTGCTGATGTACCAAGTGACGTCATATTAACTCCAAGGCTGTTAAAATAACGTCTGTTTTTTTCAAGCTTGCGCCCGCTGGATTTGAACACGCATACCTGGTTGAGGCGCGTGTAAATGAAGGGGCCTCGTGCTCTCGAGACACCGTCTTATTCTGCCGTGGTAAGGAAAAACGCCGTATGAACCCTCAGGCGTTGCAAAATGTCCTTTGATAAAACATGAATTTCCTGGTATATATATGAATATTTTTCCTCTACTTTTTCATATAATTTTGTTTGAAATTTCACCTAAAGTTCCTGAAAATTTCAAGGAAAAATATTCATAACTTGCTTCAAAAATGAACATTTTATCGAGGGAAATTTGGCAACTCTCGAATGTTCATAGGGCGTTCTTCCTTAGCACATCAGTATTTCTAACAACACCGTCCCCCAAACGAGGGAACGTGTCTCCATTCCAAGGTTGCAAAATCTACTGATACATATTTTTATTCGCGCGAGAATGGCAAAGTCATTACTGCCCAAAATACTGTTGATTTTTGAAGGTAATCCGTGGAATAATCTGTGAATCCTTTAATGAAAAGGGCACATTAGTTTCCAAGTAAAAATACATATTTTGCACGAAAATTTAGCAACATTGACTTTAAATAAGGATTGTATTTTTTCTCTATGAGCTTTACAAAGCGTATTTGCATGAGCACATGAGTAAACAAAGAGAAAAAGAATCGTAGGTCTTAAAATGTTTATACTGGATTCCAAATCCCTTCTACTTTTTACTCGCAGTTAAAATGTTACTTTTGTAGGAGCTCTTTTTTTGGTCCCGGTAACGATGCAGAATTGTTATCGGTGCCTAATTATTTGTTACCACAAGTGTGACATTATGATTACGGCTGTAAACGTAAATGGGGCAGGATTCCACTATAAACATTGTAAGACTGACTATTCTCATTTCTTCATGTAAAATTGCATAAAAAGTATTGAAGTTATAAAATTGTACCGTATTAAATAAAAACGTATTAATAAAATATAATTAATATTAAATAAAAATTTTATTTAATAAATCTTTTATTAAATAAAAACTTGGGACATACTCGCGATTCAACCCTAAAAAAACTTGTGCCGATACTTGCAGGTAGATTCAATGATGACGTGTCATGAGGGAAGTTCAAGGTTTAAGGTATTTGCAAATACCTTGAAATTTCCTCTTGACAGACGATAAAACTGAAAAAAATGTTGCCTTATTTATACAAAAATGAATGAATAAATGAAATAAAGAACACAGAGATGGATCAGTCTTATGCTTTTATACTTCTAAAATTAAACTTACATCATTTATCATAATTATTTTAACCAATTATCAAACTAATACTCCAGAAGATTTTGGACACAATATTTTTGGTTCGAAATATTAGGATTTAACTTTTGGATGGCGTTTCATCTAAATACAAGTTAATAAATTACAATTTCGTAGATACTTTTGATAAACCTGGTTTCATTTTTATAGATTTTCCCTCGATCCAAAAAAATTAATATAAATCTGAGAGATATTTAAATTTTTCGTAATGACCCGTTTCTAACTAAATACATTTAAAAAAGTGAATGGCTCTCGGTGTTTAAATGATTTGATATGGGTTCCTCTCGATGTATAAAAAATCAAAATGTACATATTTACATGTTTATCCCCAGTATTAAATGCAATGAAGTTAGGAGAAGAAAGATTCAAAATATTACCGATTCTCATTGTTTCATTGAGATAAAAAAGCTCTGTTACAGTTATTATTGTAAGTACGGTGCTCTACGGTTCAAAGATCCGTAGTTTTGATTCTAGGAACTGTATGCGCGGTTCATGCAACCGCACTTTTTTATGGTGAGGTTTAGTTTGAAAACTTGGTTGCATGAACCGAGTACGGTTTGAAAAGTAGGGCCGATATGGGACACCATATACCAATTAGACGTGTTTAAGCTAAAAGGAACTATGTGCATACGGTTTGTGTGAGACATAGTTCCTTTTAGCATAAATGCGTTCAATTATGGTTCACATCGTGGACCCTCGAACACAAGGGAGTATTTCTCTTACCACATGACCCCTAAAACTCAAGGAGTTATATGGAGAATAGGGCTCGACTCATGAGCAGGTATTCGCATCTCGGGCATCTTGGATTTCGTCGATGGCGTAGGTAGGTACGGACGCTCTCCATCCTCGATTTACATATAAATCGTGTATTTATGGGAAAAAGACACTTATCAACTGTTTGAAATTATATTTTGAGTCGAATCAAGCAAAAAATAAAAAAACAAATGAAATAATAAAAAAAACGGACGTTATGATCCGTTTTTCATGAATAAAATTCTGGATTTTGCTGGGATATCGACGTCATATTCTGCCGTGCTAAGGAGGAACGCCGTATGAACATTCGAGAGTTGTCAAATTTCCTTTGATGAAATGTTTATTTTTGAGGAAAATTATGATTATTTTTCCTTGAAATTTCCAGGAACTTTATATCAAAACACGAACAGAATTCTCTGAAAAATTGGAAGAAAAATATTCATAAGTTCACCAGGGAGTTCGTGTTTTATCAAAGAACATTTGGAAACGCCTGAAGGTTCATACGGCGTTTTTCCTTAGCACGGCAGTAGTGTACCTTCCCACGTGACGGGGTGAACAAATCATCAAACTGCGACTACCTCCTATTTTTTCTCCACAGCATTTGAAGGTTTAAATTGACCGATATTAAATTAATGTTCACACCAGCAGTTAACATTAAAAGCACTTCCGCAATGCCCCCCTCTGTGCCCTCGACGTCTGCACTCTCCGTTGCAGTCGGAGGTGTAGTCGACGCCACCCCAAACGCAGCTTCCGATGAGGGTGTCACCTTGAGCCGCATTCCAAGGGGATGAAACGATCACCAAAAACGTGACGCAGACCAACAACAATATGGAG